TAAAGCTCTGATATTTTGAGAGAAACCAAAAGGACTCAATCTTACTAAAATTGTATCAATTGAAAGCTTAATTTTCTTAGGTGGCTTTGAAATTTATCACACTTTTTCAAACATTCAATTTCCTATTCTATATGAAAAGACATATTTCAAATTGCTGGTGTGCATATTGGTGGAAATCAGCATGCCCTTTAAAGTAATGCTGAGTTCCATTGATATGTTTAGCGGTATACGTTACAGTCTCAAAAAGATTTGAAAAGGGCAGATAATCCATTTTTTTGTCTTATGTTGTCACCTGTAAGTCTTCCAACTCTTTTTCTTTCAAAATGTCATTCAGGGTTCTGTTGAATTCACTTTTGGACTGGCTTATTATTTTTGACCATTGGCATATTGTCAAGTCGTGCCTACCTGACTTCAAGAATGCTAATGTAGTGCAAAGTTTCTCCTATTCAGTGAATTGTCTTACTTCCCTATACTGTCATGGAATACCTTGAAGGTGGTGCATTATTCTCCATCTGATTGGCTTTGAAGCAAAGGACTAAAAAAGACAAGTTCTCCAGATTCAGAAATGACCTAACTGAGCTCTTGGAGATGATAAACGCAGCACCACAAAGCCTACATGGCTGCTTCTAAGATAGAGCTTGATTAATATACTAACTTTTGAAATGGTTGTATTGACATACTCGTTTCTGGTAACAGATGACTGAACTCATTGATGGAAAAAGCATTTTTAATCCTAGACCTCTGTGACATATGTTACGTTTCCTTTAAGGTGGATTTCTGTTTTTTCTAGAGCATGAAAAAAGGTGAATATTCATTTTAAATTGTTCGGGATGTGATGGTTATTTTTCCTCTATATACTAGAAGCCTTCATTTACTCTGTCTGTTTGACTGGTAGAGCGATATCTAGAAACATTTTCCACAATATGCTAGTTGAAATGAGTTTATTGCAAAATTAACAACTCCCGTCAGGAGAGTTTAAAACGGTGCTTCTGTCTACAAGGCGTATGACATCATTGGTGAAAGAACATGAAAGATACACTGAAATAAAACATGGAAATTCTGATCTCCACTTTTCACTCATTTGATGAGAAATTTTAAGTCACTTTTTTTCTGGTTGTGTCTCTGTTTTTTCCTCAGCTGTGAAAAGCTTCGTACTTCTTCTGTGAATGTAAAATCCATGTAAATGGGGAAAAAGGGAAATCATCATCTTTTTAAAGAAAATAGCTGGGTTTTATTTGTTGATTTTTTTTTTTTCCCCCCCCTTCATAAGGAATCAAAAGATGAACAATGGAAACGAGCTATGGATTATTTAAATGTTGTCAATGAACTCAATTACATGACACAGATTGTTATCATGCTTTATGAGGATCCAAACAAGGTATTTAAAATGGATAAATATCTTCAGAAACAAGTAGTGCTAAGCTATGTATTAAAGTGTAAACCTATTTAATAATTTTTCTTCAGGAACTTTCTTCGGAAGAACGTTTTCATGTAGAGCTGCACTTCAGTCCAGGAGCCAAAGGCTGTGAGGAAGATAAAAATTTACCAGCTGGATATGGATACAGACCTGCCTCCAGAGAGGTAATAATTATGCCTAGCTTTTCTGGATGCGGAGATACCTAAAATAGACACTGGGAAAATGTTAGGCAAAAAATACAAATGTGTTTTTTATTTTGGTAGAAAAATATCTAGTAAAATATAGGCAGTTCCAATGTATTATTCCATTTTGAATGGACGCTGAGGTAATGGACACAGATAATTTGGACCTTCTACGGCTTTGCCAGAATTCTTGCTAGAAATACAAAATACTCACTGTAAGAAAAGGTGCTATCAACATCAGTGTCACATCAATGGTATTCTGGCAACTGAAAGAAATATTTCAGAAAGTAAGGTAGTTTGGCATGTTTGTGAATACAGATTGTTGAGCAAGGATAGATATTTTCAAAGATGTCTGGGCAAGTCTATGGAGTTACCACCTGCTTTTTGAGAAATAAACGAAAGCAAAGGTTGGCTGGAATTCTTCTGTTGACTTGTGGAGCCAGGATTTTATTACTATGTCAACAAAAAATTGGAGTAAGATATGTTGGCTGAACAATGTGGTTAATTAGGACCCACTATTATATGCAGTGGCTGGTTAGGAGCAAATACACATAGATTATTAAAGTCTAGAGCAACTTGTTCAATAATATGTGATTTACTTCTTGTATTTTTAAAATTGGTTTGCTTTATGTTTACACAGAAGATTTATTTAACAGTTGCTTCTGTCTACATGTTGCATGGTTTGCAGCTAAATTAAAAATGAATTATGTATTGTTTGTAGAATGAAGGCTCGAAGAAAACCTCTCATAGAAATGATAGTGATGAGGAGGCACATGCTTCTAAAAGAGATGAAACAGATCGGTCAGTAGTGATGTTCAAGCCAATGGTATCAGACCCAATTCATATACACAGAAAGTCACCCCTTCCAAGATCCAGGAAGATTGGTTCTGTTGAAGTAAGTGTTTATGTTCCAGATAATGTCTTTCACAGAAATTAACTTTTGCTTATTTTTAACAAAACAAAACCAAATGTAATTCTGATTTTGATTACACAGAACCAATATGATGTTATGTCTCACAAAAGGGTTGCTCTTATTCTATGGGAAATCCTCCATGGCAGTAATTTGTCTGAAGGAATTTTTTTTTTTAATGAATTATTAATTTGCAATAAGACTTATTTCCTTTTTTCTTTTTAAGCCATTTTAGAAAAGCCGATATTTGAAAATGAAGACTTTTTCAGTCTAAACCTACATCTTCAAACTAACATACATTGCTTTTGTATTCATCCTTACAAGACAGCTGCTATTGGGAATTAAACAAACCTTCAGGGTGATCATGCTGAGAGGGAACGGAGGGATTGGGGGCGGTAGGGGAGGTACAGGAGGTGAGAGACATGTCTTCTGCTGTATTTGCTTTCACGTGGGGTGAAAGTGACTCCACTTGTCAAGCGTTTAAGGTAAGAGAATAAACTGGAAGCTTTTTTTAAGTGGGTGGGGTTTGTTTCATGAATTCTTTAGATAACATCTTGAACAGTCTATTTTCCTGTCTTCAAGGCCGTGACATCTAGGTGTGCTTCACAGATATGGCTTTAATGTCACATAGGTGGGGGAATGCACGGCAGTATCACTGATACCATTTGTACGGTTAAGTGGCAAAGCTTCAGATGGTGCATAGTGGCACTTCTGTGATATTAATGCTAGAAGCAGACTAACAGCTTCTTATTGCCTCATTTTCAGTTGCTTAAAACCATCAGAAATGAAGATTCACACCAAAAGCTTTTCCTTTCATGTTTGTGTTGGGAATGGGCTGTTTGTATGCAATGAAAGTATTACAGATGTGCAAGTAACTTGGTTATTGGTAGTGTGGAGACAAAAAGATGCATGGTTCCCTTCTATAAGGATATCTGTATAACTTCACATGACTACCATAAATTAACAGAGATAATAAATGTCAATGTCTTACATTTTCTATTTCCAAGTTTTATCATAAACAAATGCTCACAACATCAGTATTTTGGATTTTTTAAAAGCTGTTTTCGCTATGATCATGCAAACTCCCCTCCTCATTATGAGTTCACATACGCACAACTTAATAGACTATTACTTCAAACTTCTAACCCTTGTCATTTTCATAATTATGTAGAAGTTACTTTCAAAAGGTATCAATAATATAAATTGCTAAATTTTGACTGTGCAGATAATATATGTTCAGATGGAATGTGTTTCAGCATTCAGCGCTTGTTTATTTGCTGGAAGAAAATAGCCAATTGAAAGAAAACATACACTACGAAACTTTTTTTGAGAAAGTAAAATTGGAAGTTTCATCTGGCCTACTGAAATCTGCAAAACCAGTATTTGGAATATTTAAACCAAATGGTATTTTCAAGCATTTATAAAAGTTATTGCAACTTAAACTGCAACTGCCTTGAACCTTTTTTTTTTTTCCTCTAAGGCAATTCTTTCTTCACCTATGTCCATTAATTTGAAAGGACACTGTCAGGTGTGAGATTATATGGAATTTTTAATCTGGGGTATAGTCAGCAATATTTACAGAAGGATTGCAACTGTGATGGAGTTGTGAAAATAAAAAAAAAACGAGAGTTCTAACAGTAAAACAAGAAAGTAAGGCTCATCAGCATTGGAAATCAAATTCCGTATTGCTAAAAATGTTGATTGCTAATGATACGTAATTATGTAGGGCATGGGAGACTCTTAGCCTGACACTGTCCTCCCTTGAAGTCCTAATAGGTGTCCAGCATCAGATAATTTTTAGGGCTTTTTTAACGTTGAAAAGCTACCAGTCAGGTTGGTGCTACTACCAGTGAGTCAGCTCTAAAGTCTCAAAGGCGATTCTAAAAATAAGAATCTTTTAGATAAGGTTATAGACTAGAAATGAAAACTATTAAGTAATAAATAGGAAAGTTTAATGTACTTAGAGGGGTAAAACTATTAAACAGTATGTCAAGGATAACAGATGTTTTATTTCCAGCATGTGGGAAATTCTTAAAATTCTGAGTCAATTATTGACAACAATTACTTTTCTCTCATATCTAATTAGTCTACCAGAAATTTGATTGAAGTGTTGTATTAAAATATATAATTGGATTAAAATATATAAGTGGCACTGATAACTCCTAATATTGTAGTATTACTTTTCCCTATTCACTGTTTAATAGTTTTAAAAGCAGTAAATAAAAGGGTGCAAGCAGATTGGGTTTTTTTCTTTTCTGTTCATTTGGCTCTGTTGAATCTAATTTTGCATGCTTTGCTGTTTTTTGCCCCCTTTCTCACTTCCAGGAAGAGAGCCCCCTGAGTGTGTCTAGCCCAGAGTGTATTGGTACCTGGCTGCATTACACCAGTGGTGTGGGTACTGGGCGTCGAAGACGCAGATCAGGGGAACAAATCACTTCTTCCCCTGTCTCCCCTAAATCATTGGCTTTCACATCCAGTATTTTTGGCTCATGGCAACAGGTTTTTAAACTTTACTTCATTAAACATTATTATGCATTCCAAGCAACAACCAACTGTCTTTAAGGACATCTAATCCCTTGTTATGGATTATGTTTGAAGCAAATTCTTCCACTTCTTAAAATTACTTCCCGAGAATGTTTGGGGGAAAAAGAGCAAGTGCATGTTTTTCCACTGAATGTGTTACATGTTTTCCTAAAAATTTGGTTTCTTTATAGGAATTGCAAATGTTACCACAGTAAAAAAGATTTAGTCTACTGCCTAAAGAAACAGATTTCTGCTTTGGTTTAGTTGTCCTTTAAGACTTTAAAACCAGCATTGCTTAATTTGGTGGTAGGTAAATTGAAAAACTTTTTTTTTTTTTTAATAATTGCAACCAATACCATTTAAAATAATTTATTTGGTACTTCATATTGCTATTCAAAACTTGTTTTGCATATATCATATTTTCAGTGGCCTGGTATTAACTATTGCAGGGAACAAACTCTAGCACTAATAATTCTCGCCTTCTGTATCCGGAGGTATCTGAAACTCCCAACACAGTACATCATCCATTGACTTGTACAATATTTTGAATATTTTTCTAAATATTGGGGGGGGGAGAGGCAGGAAAAAAAACAAAAATAAATTTTTTTGAAGTACCAGTGAAGATCTAAAGATTGTTTAGCATGTCGAGATATTGTTTACATGTATGACAATGGATGGTGTTCTGTTAACCATATCCTTTTTCTTTGAAAATTTTCATAATTTCTTTTTATTGTGGAAAATTCTAAAACTATTTACATAGGAAAAGTTTATATCAGTAAACGCTGTGAGCATCTGAAGATTACACTGATTGAGCCCGTGCATGGATCAGTGATTGTATGGTGTCCTCAATAGTTTGTCTGTCTTTCCTTCCCTCCCCTCCTTTTTTCAATACAGGCGCAGTTTAGGAGAGTTCATTTGGTAAAATGAAATAAAATGTCTCAAATGTCTGTTCTCACATCTGTCTTGGTCTGTGTCCTTTCTCATTCTGAATGCTTGCTTTGCACCACTTCATTGCAAGGAACTCATATGTGAAATGGACTCCCTTCAGAAGGGGATATTGCATGATCTTTCATGTTTCCTTTACATACTTTTACTAACACTTATCATACAGCTTATTAACACTTGTCTGTCTGAAACAGGCTGCTGTATCAAGTTAAATGGACATTTCATGCTGCTGTTCTACTTCCCCTTATTTTTCTGTTTTTTATATCCAGGTCCTATCAGAAAGCAATAGTAACTTACGAACACCAAGAACTATTCTGGAACAAAAGCAGAGTGGTCTAGGTATGTGCCTACAATTGAAATTTTGTTTGATGTTAGCAGCTTTTCATCTGCCTGTTGTGCTGTACAGTTGTACATTCTTTGAATAGCTTTTATGTTAACAGGACCCAATAGTACTTGTTATCAATAATATATGCTGAGTGTCTGCCTATAAACTGGACAATTTTTCTGCAGCAAAAGTTTTAAATAAACTATAATTGAAAAGAGCAAATTGTTTGAGGCTGTTCACACTACTGACTCTCTACTGCTCGCAACAGGTACACAGGATTATTTTTAACATAAAGTAGATTTTTAAGATAATGTAGTTTATGACTGAGGTTTTGGGTTTTGGAAGAATCTTTTGGATTGAAATGGCCTGCACTGGAAACTGTTAAAACACTTTTCTTGAAAATTAATGTTTCCTACTGTGGGCAGTTGATGGTATAAGGTGTTTTACTGAAGGGAGGGAGGATGGGGAACAAAACTCAAATTTCTTGATAATATCAGGGGTTTTGCACACATTCCCTCTCCTAAAATCAATTTCTTCCTTTCAGTACTAGAATGAATCATGCTATAATTCAAGGAGTTGTTTCAAATTCTTTTAATTCAAGTGGTGCTTTTCTGTTGCTTCTTTGAAACAGGCATACTTATGACTGATATGCAAAAATATGAAATCTTGCACTCCTGTAAATCAATATTGCATTTTTTTCTGTAAGTGTGTCTTTCATGGGAAAAATGAAGTGTAGAAAATGCATAATGTATATGCATAAACTTAAAAGTAACATTTCTTTGTAAAGGTCTGTATTTTTTGTATGTCTAATCTTTCTGTGATGCTTTTCTCCCTATTATATTTTTCCCTTAGTAAAATGCATACATCAGGTGCTCTTGTTTATCAAAGTCATGTTTTTTATTGTGCGCTTGCTAGTTAAACAACTTTTTCTTTTGCCAATGTGTAACACAATATGGCTTGTGGAAGTTGATGTATTTCTGTGTGTAGATTAAGATATTACATTTGGTGTGAAAGGCTTTTGCCACAGACCAGGCACCAATTTATTTTGGCTGTGATTGGTCACATGTGCTAGTAATGTTTCCCCTCACTGGGTCATTAAAAGTAATGAAAGGAATTATCACTGGACAGATAGCCTGTTTTAAAAAAAAATCTGCTGCTACTTATCTAAACTGTAAAAGATAAGTTCTGAGTGACAAACCACTTCTCCTTTCAACTAGTAGTAAAAACTAAAGGAAAAAAATTGCAACATTTTTTTCCATTTTGTTCATTGTTGTATGTAAATTTCATTTATGGTTGATGATTATAAAAGTTATTTTTATATTTCTGTCTGTGGCTTTCAGTGATTTGTTAAAACTCCCATCCTAGTGGCTGGAATGTATGAATTGTAGCAAAAGTACTCTCACTTGCATAGAGATGTACAAAAGTCTTCTCAGGAAAGGAAGTCAAGCTAAACTTCGTGGAACTTTTAGGTATTTTCAGTTTGTAACATTGTCAGTGATGGTAGCTGAAAGATAAATGGAGTATTTGCAATTTGGCTAACGTTTTGTTGGGGTTAGAAGGGAAATATTTCCATATTAAGTCTGTGGAAATGCATGAGTACTTCATTGCAGCCTGTCATCTCAAAGGTTGATTTGGATGAAAGCAGTGAGCAGTATTTTTCCAGTTTATATTTGTTTCAGAACTGCAGGTTTTAAAACACACAACTTTCACGTCATCATCATCTTGGTTTTGTTTTGTTGTTTTGGTTATGTTTACATTAATGCTAACTGGTAACTTTTCTTTACCAAAAGTGAAAACAGGACAAGAACTCACTTTGTTAAAGCCAGTCCTCTCTTTGCACATATAGCAGAGGGTGCTGTGTCATGAGTAGAAGCACAATAAATTATGATAGTTTCAGCCTACAAGTACCACTCTGACATTACAAGCATATTGTGAACCTGTCCAAGGCACTGCCAAAAGCTGCCTTTTGTGTGGTAAGAGCCATGTGCTTGCATGCTGCATGCATCCCCAATGTGAATGGACGAACACCTGGTTGTTGTATGTATTTTCTCTAACTCCCATCAGGGTCTCACTGTGCGGGCCTGTTTAGCACCTCAGTGCTCGGGGGTTCTTCAAGTGCACCTAACCTACAGGATTATGCTCGTACTCATCGTAAAAAGCTGACTTCTTCTGGCTTCATAGATGGTATGTGCACACTCTCGCACATGCACGCACAAACCCATGTGCCACATTAAACTTCTAAAGATAAATCCTAGGTTACTGATTTTAATGGAATCCTAGAATCCTTTGCCTTAGTATTAATTGTATGAGTTTGTATTGCTTCTTTATTGCCCGTAGCTTGCTAATGTTTAACTTAATAGCATAGTTAATTCTTGTTTCTGTCTTGAATTGAACACTAGCTCACAGACTTGTAATGTGTGCCAGGAGATTTCAGCAAGTGCATTTTTGAAGTAAACTAAAATTTTGGTTTTGAAATTCTTTTCTCATTTTAAACTTTAGGTTTTATCATTACTTATTGATCTTGAAATGAAATAAATTACTTGGAGCATATACAAGGAATAAACGAAATTATGAACTAATAACTTAAATACTGACGGTGAAAATTTTAGGATTCCTGACCTCTTTTTGGTGGGGTTTGGATTACAAAGGAGCAGGAGATTTTCAGTTTTGGATAATCTGGGGTAGAGAAGAAACTCACTCACTAGATTTCAGAATGTAAAGATGCCAAAGCACACTTTTATATCTCTGAGGTGAAACAGTATTCATGCTGGTTTTGCCTCAATTCACTACTCAGTGTTCGACTCTAACCTGATATAACCTTGTATGCCAGAATCACCAGCTCATTCTGCTTGTTTTCATACACTTCATTACACATCTTGTAGTTACCAACAATCCAAATTGTCTTCTTTTTAACCTCTATTTAGATTTTAGCCCTTTTCTTTGGTCCCTTCTGCATGCCACTCGGTTCTAATACCTTCTCATCTTTTCTTTTTTTCTTTCTTCTTCCTTTCCTTTTTTAAAATGTCCCTCTTTTGGTAGCTGTTACAAATTTCAGGTACCTGTTTTTCTCTTTCTCAGACACCACACGCGGTTCTGCTGTTAAAAGGTTTTCTATCTCATTTGCTCGACACCCAACCAATGGTACGTTTTGCTTTTATTTTAAAAACAAAAACAAAAACAAAAGGTTCCTTGCTTCATCCCTTTTATTTTTATTTCAAATACGGGGTGTACAGTATCATCCAGCCGTCTGTCGTTCCTAACTTCAAGCACAACTCCAAATATATTTGTAATCATGAGATCTCCTAAATCCCTTCTTTACCATTCATTAGTATAAATACAACATCAAAATTCATTCCTTAGAAAAATCCTTGAAAAAATTGAAGTGCTACTGTTAATCATGATCTCTGTAATAAATTATTCTTCCCAATTTCTTGTGTGATCAGACTGTATGGTACAAGATAAAAACAGAATTAAATCTGATCTTTATTGGGCATACCCTTCTTGATAGCTGCTGCTTCTTCTTTGTCTTTCTCCTGCTGAGCTGTTTCCCTGGGCCTCCTGATTCTAAAATAAATCACTGAATTGACAACTGGAGTTTATGACTGTCTTCTTGAAGTGATGCTAAATTAAAAAACTAAAGCAGAAGCTTTGGTTCCATTCCTGTTAAATTGCTATATTTATTTTCAGACAAAAATTTATTTTACCTTATCATACTTCTCTGTTCATCAGATGTGCAAATTACTTAAATATTGCACTAAAAATCACAGCAAGAGAGCTGCCTGTTGCTTGCATTGACCTCTTGAGCTTCAAAAGTGAGAGTTAACTTGTCTTCAGTCTACCATAGTTACAAAAAAAGTCTGGTTTAACACACGGGACAGAGGTATGTCTTTCTCTTCCTCAGCAAAATATTTCGTGCCTACCTTTCTACGTAATTAAATAGGCCCAAAATGTATCCTGTTCATGAAAACCAGACTCGGTCTTCAGCATCCACCGGATCTTAATGTAGCTTTTCCAGATTTCTTAATTGCAGTTCTAAAATGCGCATGACTGCTGGCTGAGTACAGTGATATTATTGAAACTGCAGTGGGAATCATCAGCATTTTTGTTAGATTCAAAATGTATTTGCTTAGAAACAAGGTTAAAAAAAAAAAAGACTGAGTTTTTGTTTGGCTCTGCTGAGAAGCAAAGTAGTCCTTTATTACATTCATTTGGAATCCATAGTGACTTTTTGCACTGCAGTGCTTCTTGAAGGGAAACTGCTATAGTGAGACTGAATTAATACCATTAAGACTGTGTTTGATCTAAAAGGCCAATTCTAGTGTCCTATTTCAAATAGGAAAGTTAGGAGTCCATTTTTTGTCTTTAGACTCAAACCAAGTAATATTTCCAAAACATACAAGGTCAGAAAGGATGAATTGCATTTGCATATCAGTGTCTAATAATATGATTACTTTCTATTCCATTTAGTACTATCTTTTTGTGATTGCATTCTTTAAAAAAGGATCTAAATTGCTTTTAATGAATGCATTGATCGTTCTGATTCATTTAATGCAGCTGTTTTACCACACATCTTTTACAAGATTAATGCATGTTATATGAGCTCCTATGAAACCTAAGTATATTGCAGGTTTCCAAAGGTTTTCTACTAACATAAGAACATATTGATGTTGTTTTGTCTGTCCTCTGGACTATCATTTTGATTCTCCTTGTCCCTTTCACTCTGCTTTTTCTTATTTTTATGTTGTTATCACACCCTCTTAACTCATTTCAGACTACCCCCCCATCTTTAGTTCAAGGAACATGGTGAAACAAGTATCTTCTGACAGTGCTTTACCTTATTTTCTGGGCCTCTTGTGCAGAACACCCACACCTCTTTAGGTGCTGGTCCATTTCCTCTGTGGAATTTCTAGGCTCCAGTGGTATGTTTCTATAGCTTTCCAATGTAAGACAGCAGGGTGGCTTTTTGAGATGCTGCGTTAACCCTTTCATTGTCTTGCCTTTTGAAGGGATACTGTCAGGCTTCTTCATCATTAAAATTCAAATTTATTTTTCATAACATCCTAAAATATTTATCATAAAATAATCAAATAAAACACTGCAGATGGATTTCCAGGATATCTTTTAAATCATATCCCTTAGATGCAAAGATACTACAACAACATGCTGGGATATGGCTATCTGATAGCAGAATTGTCAAAACTGAACAAAAACCTATGGAGGGGAAATTACTGAAAGAAGAAAACTTTTTTTCTTCTCTTTTTTTAAAGGGCATGGGTGCATTTTGAAATTCCTTTCTGGTTTTCTGTAACACTGCACTATAACAGTAATAGTTATTAAAAAGTTAACCTGACATTGTCCCACTATGTTCTTTGCAAAATTAAAAAAATAAATTCTCATTCAACTGATAGTGACTTTTCTGTCAGGGTAAAGAGATAAATCTTACATTTTACTGTAATGCAAAGAAAGGGTTTGCGCTTTGCATGCATGCATAGTTATTTAGGATATTAATATGTATGCGAAACATCTTAGTGCTTACACTGAAGCTTAGCTAATGCCTTTATAGGAAAATAGAAATTAAGTATGTGGTGGTGTTTCTTTCGTACATGAAAACCAAGTTTCCATGAAATGCAACATTTTATTTGTAATATAAGTGAAGCTGACATAAGTACACTTCAGTTGATTGTATATTTGAAGCGACTGTCCCTCAAATTTAAGTATGGCCATGGTGGATCCAAATATAAATACAGACATTTGGGGGCTGAAATTTTGTTGAATTACTTCTCTATGCAAAGCACTAAATCAGGAGTGAATGGGGAACACTGGATATCATAGGAATATTGATGCTTATTATTTTAGGGGAGGGAACAGTTCACAGTCATAACCCTATCTCTAATAAATGTACCTTGAACTGAAATTCTAAACATTATTTCATTCACTATTGTTTCTTCATTTAAATATCTTCAATGTAGCAACTGTAGATTTACAATATTGAATTGCAAAGTTGTAATGTTACAGCTGTATGTTGAAAACACTAATGGACATATTTTCCTCTTCTGAAATGCAATTGGATGAAGAGCTTTCATTGAGTTATCAAACTTGCATCACTTCAGAGAACTGCAATTTTTTTTTTTTTTTTGCCAAGATGTTTAAATGCTTTTTAGTATGTTAGTAATATGGATATGCATGGTTGATGTATGATCAATACTAATGTAGAAAAGTAAAGACCAATAAATTTTTAGACTTTGGGTTGCTATACTTACCTGTTCTAATATATGAATTTTTACATATATACTTTTAAGTACTGTTTTTAAATGCATAAAGGTAGGTGTAAATCTGTCTTAGAAAGTTAAAACATGTAACCTCAAGGTACAAAAGTGCTAACAGTGGTTTTCCTTTGATATTTAAGGCAACAGTTTGTTTTCACAGAATACTGAAGATGATAGAACATGAATTCTGCAAATTTATTTCTTGGAAGTTGTAGCATTTTTAGCTCTTGTCTGCTAACAGTTGACAACATAGCTATCCTATTTTACTTGCATGAATGAATTATCTATTTAGTGTTGTGCCAGGTATGAGAATGAGTAGGAGAAATACTACCATTTCCTGACTATTTTTTTTAGTAATTTACTAAGTTTGTCTTAGAGGAAAGTTATCTTTCGTGAACTGATTTGGGAATAGAGTACAGCTGTAATGTTTGAAGATGCTGCTTTATTTGTACGTGGGATTTGTATCCCATGGTATGTTAAATGGTACCTTTAGTTTAGTACATCCCGGAGACTGGCACATCTTGTTCCAACTCCTTTAATATTTAGTGTCCATGATTTCAAGAGTACTATGTCTGCATGTGCTGATTTAAAATAAGTACTTTTTACATGCATTAATACATGCCCATGCACTAGCTTAAATCCTGTCTTATGTTTGGAAATCTCTGTTTTTTTATTATTTTTCTTTCAGGTTTTGAACTATATTCCATGGTGCCTTCTATTTGCCCTTTGGAAACTCTACACAACTCCTTGTCTCTGAAGCAGGTGGATGAATTTCTTGCTTCTGTTGCTGCTCCATCAAGGGAAAATCTACAGGAGACAGGTACTGATTTTAGATCGTAATTATGTTCATTTTAAATTGTTAAATATTGTCTAGTTAATCATTCTGGTATTTTACAGCCAACAAGTAAACTAAGAGTACTGCTTTAAAAAAAAGAAATATATACATGAACCATAATTTTAATTTTTGCAGTATCCTTTTGAAGTATGGAACTGTCATAATTCATTGAAGTAATGTCTCTGTTGACTGGGGTAATAAATTAAGGATTTAATGAAATTGTAATTGGTTTATTTCCTCACATTAAGAACTTCTCTGTACTGTCCACACTGTTAGCTGAATTACAAGGAATGCTTTTTAGTGAGCATGGAGTATTTCCAGCTTTATACTGTACTGTTGTATTGGCAGTAACCTCAGCAGAGTAGTGTTGCCTTTTACATCTTAAAACTGTGTTGTTTCCTGTTTCTTTCAATATTACTTGGGGTTTCACCTGTGGAGTGCCTTCCAGTTACTTAGTTTTTTAGTAGTTTGTGCTGCATGTTTAATGTTTAAGTGATCTTGAAATTAAATGCAAACTGAGTTCTAGCCATATGCATGTCTCTGGGAATGCAATCTTCATAACCTATCACTAATGCTTTTGCCAGTCTTCTGACAAGACAGCTGTTAACTGAAATTTGGCTTAGCTGCCTTAGCAGCATGAAGTTACCATGTTGCTTTCTGAGGTAAAAAGGAGATTTTTAGATTTGTCTTTCATGCTTTGAAGTTTTGTCACTAGAGTAAAAAACTGGTAGCTGAGCTGCAGGTTATGTAAGTGTGGCACCTATATTGCTGGAGAGATACACAGTTCTGTGGCTACTATTTTTGACATTTTGCTCAGGTGAGAGTATTTTTATTATTAATGATGAGTATCTTTTCTTTTTTTTTCCCCTCACTGCAGCTTCTCCAACTTACATGATTCCACTGTCAGGAAGAAAAATTTCTTTAAATACATATACCCCTGCAAAAATTCAACCAACGCCACTTGAAACTTTGCCTGAAAGGCTAGCAATAGAGAAACCAGCCTTATGTAAGTAACTTCTGTCAGAGGCAGAACGGCTAACTTCATTACGTTATTTCCAGCGGTAGGATTCTTTCTTACATATAGGCCAGCTATTTCTTAACATTCCCTGTCTATGCAAGTGGGATCATTTTACAAGTCAGTGAGAATTCAATAGCTTTGCAAAAACAGTTTTAGGAGTAAAACTGTGCTAACAGTAACTTTCTCTTATCCTCTAAAGTGTTTGAAAGAATTTCTATAGCCTTGAGAATTCATGGGGTTTGGTTTTATTTTAAGTATGACAGTGTTTCCAGCTATCTCCAAGTAAGACAAGCAAAGGAAATTTATTTATTTAAATGGCAGAATTTCTAAGATGTTTTTTAAACATTTACCATAGAGCTCTGTGACCAGGTTCTGACTAAAGCTGCCAATAACATGATGATGCATTTAGTCATTAGTATATTTAGTCTGAACTCTTAGCCAGCTGCACTGTCCGCTTTTGGATAGTTGTGCTGTTTTGAGGGTCTCTAGAACAAAATCCCATTGCATTTCTGATCTCATTAGATACAGTGTAGCTTTTTGTGTGTTTCTGTGCTAGGTAACTTGCATTTTGCTTGCTTTTGATGCTTTTTAGTGTGGATATTCTTAAGTGTAAAACCTAATACTTTTCTTTATCTGTACAGCTACCCCTGGATCCTCTGTTCATGTATCTAATGTTAAGCTATCTCTCGAAGAGGCCTCACTAGATGTAGAACTTAGTAGTGAAACTCTTTCTGAGAAGAAATGAAGTTGATCAGACAAAACTGGAAGCAACTTAAAAAATTCTTTAGTGTGTGTTCAACTAAATTACTGAGCTTTCGAAAGCCATTCATGTCTGCAGTTCATAGGGCACTTAATCTTTAGTTTAGACATGGTTAACTAGTGTGCATGCTACATATTTAGGTCAAATGTCTTTTCTCATTTTCTAAAACATGTCAGGAAATATATTTATTTATCAGTTTGATGAACTGCACACCTTTAATGGAAAAGCTGCACATGAACCTTTTCAGTGTCTTCAAATATTTACTGTAAACCTGTACAAAAAGAAAATACCAATGCAGTGGTATGTGTTACAGTGGCTCTGTTGATGTCACTGTAATGAAAGCATTGTCTGTTGTCATTATAAGCTTCTATTTTCAGGAGTTTATAATCTCCCTGTGAATTTCTTTTGTGGGTTGAAATGTAACACACATCTTGGCTAGAAGCTTTTTTTTAATTTAAGTACATTTCCAAAGAGATCTCTTTTGCCTGGTTTTGAAGATAAGCAGATGTTTTCTGCATTTGAATTATTTTATATCATGTATGCTGCAATAATTAGGCATGATGGAGTGAGTTAATGTGTTGTCACTTTTGACTCTCCTTATTTTTAGTCTGTGTTTACATCAGACCTGTAACATTCAAATACACCTTCTCTTTCGTTGTTTAGTATACATGCTTGTATACGGGTACCTGTATATCATCCAGCGGATAAAACTGTCTTTTATATGTTTTTATCAAAAACTTCTTTTGTTTACTTAAAAAGACAGTTTTGTTTGCTTTGCCATATGTTTGTACAAAAAGGTGATATTGAAAAGCAGGTTTTATAAAAAGAGAAGTGGTTACAGCTGGTCTGCTAGTAAGTTTATCCTAAAATTGTAAATATTCCATCTGTGCTTTACTATCATCGCTTCAGAGTAGAGAGAGACTGTGGTCTACCAGCACTCAGTGCTTACTGTTGCAGAATACTCAGGAATCATCATGGCCTGGGGATTTTAATACCTCTCTCCTTCCAATCTAGGTGGTTGACAACAGCTCTCATAAAAAAAAAAAAAAAAAAAAAAAAAAGGTTTTATAAGAGCTATGAGAAGCATTAGTAAGTCAGTGGAACTTTGAGTTATTGGGTTATGTAGAGTAATCATCCAGTCTCAGCAGTTCTTGTGATTTTATCTGTGGCATGAAAAATTATTGAATGATTATAAGTATCCCAAGTGTATGAAAATATTGTCCACTTTTGTAAGTTCAGGTGGCTGATTATTAATAACTGACTTCATAAACTACAAGTTAGATAATACCTTTCACATTTAAGTTGCAGAAGACATAGCTTCAGAGTAATATTTTTAAGTAGGGCTCTTACTCATCTCCAGAGCCAGTGCAACTATAATTACATTCACTTTGCCACAGGGTCTGTTTTCAGTGTTTACCACACATTAAATGGCTTCAGGAGACTAATTCTAAAAATTCTGGTTAAATACCAAAAATATGAAGGGTTTCACAGCTATATACTTAAAACATTTCATTTTCTGTAGTGTAATTGTGTTATTGGCAGTGTTGGTCTTGCACACAACTGAATGTACACTTGTTTACTGTTTTAAAAAAAAATACTGTTAAAATTTAAGTATGCGTATCATTCCAGTCAACCAAAGCTGTGGCATAACTTTTTTTTTATGTGCTTCTAAATAAAAACAAGGTCACTGGCAACTTTTCTCCATTTTGTTTTCTTTTAAGAGTATATGTGAAGTACAGTGAGTAGTTGACTCAGTAGTAAATAAGCCATTAATACATACATAAGCCAAAATTTCTCTTGGTGGTGAAGGACATGACTGATAAGAAATGAGGGTTTATCATTTTATACTTAAATCACTCCTCAAAAAGTTAAACAGTAGTCACACATTCTGCAGTGCTTCCTCATGGTCCAGAATGGTAACGTTAAATACAGAACCACTGTGAGTGCTCTTATATTTCCTATTGCTACTCTGGCAATAAGGCAGAATGTGGGCTCTACTGAGCTTTTTTAAACCTACTTTTAGTCCAATTTCTTCATGCAATTGGACTCATTCTCACATTAAACTTTTTGAACTGTACATCCTATTCCAGCCAGATTTGACAGGTGAAAGAGTAAGGTCACAGAAAATAAGTGCTTGAATATGACTATAACTCCCGAAATACCACCACCCTGCAATATAGTTTAAGTAAACATTTAGCATTTCCTTAAAAAATGAACCATTGTTACCAAACAGAGGAAAACACAAAAATGTTTGTAAAAACTCCTAAAATTATTTTTAAATCTTGTTTTATCTGTTCTATGTTTCTTTGTTACAATAAAGACATAAATCTGAGTCCTCTATATAATTAGACTAGCAAGTAAAATTTGTTAAGAGAAAGCAGATGTGCTTCCACAGTTCAATTTTGTAGGAATCCATATAAACAAGCCTAGGGAGGTATGCATACAAAAAATAATGATCATACACTGATCAATAGCATCAAAACCATCAGAGTTCAAAGGAAGATTGCAGAAGAGATGTAACAAAGACTTTTAATGGCCATTTCAATGCAATAGACTATTCAAGTGGCAGAACATCGGGATTTAACACTTTTCTGTCATCTAACACAGATGGAGACATAAAGTTCCTTTATTTTTCCTGTATTTCTTCATCAGTTTACAGCAATTATGCTGTTGATAGACCCATAAGTAACTTGCTAAAGAAAAAATTGCAAAAATTTTTCCAAAAAGTCAATTGTGGAAGAACCGGTGGAAGAAAAGAAGGGTACTTTCTAGTAGTTGTTTATATTTCTTTTTTCTTCTTAAACAATGGTTTTAATTTTGCTTGGTTTTGTGGAGAGTACAAATTTCACTGAGTATTTTCAAATACTAATTTCTTCCTCACTTAGCCCTTAAAAACAACCATCTTCTGCTCTGAAATATAAAAACTGGTGTCATAACAAAGTAGTCCAGAGTGATACACTATGGAAAACAGATGCCGAATAAAAAAATAAACTAAACATCTTACCTACAGAGAAAGAAGTAAAACCTAGCATACTCTAGACCTAACTATTCATTTTTAAATGTAGCAGTCCTGTGGTCTAATTGAATACAGTTCCATTAAGAATAGCATTCCAGCTCTTAAGTTCCCTGAAAAAGAGCTAGCTGGAGTTCTGGCTCTGGATGTGCAGTTCTGTCTCTGATCCCTCTTTCTTCTTTCAATGAACAAGTTGAAGTATGACACAATATGAGAGCCCTGCAAATCATGTGTACTTTGTACTTTCAAGACAAATTCTATTTGCAGTTCACACTGTAGAAAAATCTTGGAGAGATCCAAATGTGTGCTAGTGGCATCAAATGTGGGCCTTTGCGGAGGAGGATGCACTAAATACATAGAACATCCATATCATAAAAGAGGTAGAAGCCAGCGTGGAAAAGATCTTACAAGAAGCTTTTGCATTGATACAAAAACAGCTCTAACATGTACTTGCTTAAGGGAAAAAAAAAAAAGAATGGATGAAAAACAGTTTGTCACCACACCACATAATTTATGAATACAGTATGCAGAAACAGACTTCTAGTCCAGACTTATAAGAATTACAAATTTTCATGTGATCTGCTACTAAGAAGAGAATCAGCTTTCTGAAATAACACTGAACATGACTAGAAATCATTTTTTGTCTTCCTCCAAGCTATACTGAGATCAATGTATATTTTTCTATCATAAAGTTGCTGGAAAAGAGAAACTTTTATGTGGAAATTACAATGTCTAGTGGTCTATTTTTTTTTTCAAAAAGAGCATAATTTGGTAATAATTGCTCTGATCTGAACAGGATTATGTGGTTGACAGGTTCTAGTGAGAACTTCTTTAGTTTTAATCAAGTGATAAATGAGAAGTGCAGGAAAGGAAATTCTCATATTTTATGCGGGTATCTCAAGATTAGCCTGAAAGGAAGGTATATTAGGCTATTTTTGCCTGGATGCAGCTTTTATGCAATGTGTTTTTGAGAAATCCACTTTTTGTGCAACATTCTTCATCTATATAATCTGATGTACAAGTAGAATGGAAATACCATTAAAGCCATTATCTGGTGCACCACACTTACAGATCTCCATTCTGTTCAGTAAAAGGGACAAAAGTCACCAATAAGGGAAAACAAGGTAATTGTGTGATGCACATTTTGTACCAGATCAAGAATTCTCCTAATATAATTGCGATATCTTTGCTTCCAACAAAGCCTATTTGGCCTGGATGCATGTGTGTCACTAAATCTCCCATTCCAATACATCTCTCCAGAAGAGGGAATAACTGCTCCTTTCATAAGATTATCATTATTTATTGTATATTAATATAAATACTAAAACTCTCCTGAATCTTTTAAAATCTGAGTATAAGTCCATTTGGACCTCCTGTCTTACTTGTCTTCGGATTCTTGATAACTTTTTAATTGCTCTTTTGGGTGAGGGCTGGGAATATATTGAGACTTAAAACATCACTTCTAAAGCCTCCATAAATTTTTTTAAAAGACTACTCTGGGAAATATTTTGAACTATTTATGAATCTGAAGTAAGAGTCTATAGTCATTTTTAAAGAGCATTTGCACAGTAAATGTAGAGTTACAAACTACTGAGGTCTGCAAAGGAGAAAATCAAACCAACAGAATTCAAAAGACTGAAATGATATTGTATTTGAAATAGAATTAAAAAAAAACCAAACCACAAAAGCTTGGAGATTCCTGCCTTTTCTAGGTTGAATATTAGTTACGAACAAGTAAACACTGGCTCAAACTGTGTGCAGTTCTGGGCCCCACAATTTAAGAAGAATGTTCAGGTCCTTGAATGCGTCTAGAGGAGGGCAACCAAGCTGGTAGAAGAGCTGGCAGGCATGTCCTGTGAGGAGCAGCTAAGGACTCTGGGTTTGTCTAGTTTGGAGAAAAGGAGGCTGAGGGGCGACCTCATTGCTCTCTACAGTTCCTGAGGAAGGGAAGTGGAGAGGGAGGTGCTGATCT